TGCGGTGGTGGGGGCAGAGCGGGGCAGGCGAAGGCCGGGGTGGCCACGTGGTGAAGATCGCCGTGGACGGTCCCCCGCTGCAAGAGTTCGACTTTGCGCTGGCCGTGGAGTTCTTAGAGAGTGGGTGGGGGGAGGGGCTCCTGGGGTCGCAGCTCACTTGAAGGTGGCTTCCTTCTCTTGGCCAGTCCAGCCTGGGGCCCTGGGCACTCTAAGGGCCAAGCCAGACTTGCCCATGATGCACCCAAGCTGAGCTACTAACTGACCTCCCTGGTTCCTCTGCTCCACCCTAGGCACTAACCCACCCTGTGGGCTGTGGATGAAGAGGCTGGATCAAGCAGGGCCTGGGCAAGTGGGCTATGTCTGGGGCACCCTAAGTCACTCCTGTCCTTTTCCGAGTTTGGCGCGGAGTCGCTCACCCTTCTCCCTTCTGGACCCGGCCCAAGTTTTGGCCCTAGAAAATTTGCTGCTCTTGGCTGGAATGAGGAGGTCTGGGTTTTGGGACTGGAAGGGCTGAAGGAAAGGAGAATTGACTGTGTCTTAGGTCCACGCCTGGCAGCATCGCTTCTCTTTAGATATGGCTGCAGAGCACATGACTGGACTCTTTTTTGACACACAGCACAGCGCCCTCTCTGTGCACAAGCCATGGTTCAAGGCAGGGAGCGGTGGCCTCTCTCCCCTCCCTACCTATAGGCTGTCTCGGGCTTTTTTGTATATGTGCGTGTATATAGATTTATAATTCTGTGACTGTGACGTAAATCTATCTTATCTTTCATAGGGTTAACACACAAAAATCCAGAAGGACTTCTGTTGGTTTTGTAATGACAGGGTCCAAAAAAGTCCCAGATCGACTGGACTTATTTTCAGTTTTTTCTTCCTCAACGTCTGGTTGCTCTCCAAGTTCCTAGCCCTCCCCCGCCCTTGCTTCAGACCTTTACGCCCAAAGACTGCAAAACCCCAGTGCTGTACCTGCTGCCTCTGAGGAGCAGCCTCAGGGCCTGACCTAGAGATGCTGGAGGGTTTGCTGCCTGCTGGGGGAAGCTATCAGGGCCTCACCAGAGCTGGGGAATGCGTCCCTTTAGATTCTGACTGTTTTCCCATTCCCTCCTGTTGGCCCTTGCTGTGAATGGTGTGTGGGATCTGGAAGGAGGGAGGTGGTAGAGAGTGAGAGGGCAGGGGCTGCCATTTTCCCAAGCCCCCAAATGCGGGTTTAACTTGCAATAAAGTGGAAACCCAGCTCATCATGCCGTGTCCATGGTGGTGTGTCTCATGGGCCCACCCTGACTCCTGTCCTCTCCCTTGGCTGGACTCCCCTTGGGAGTTCATTTGGGTCATTATGCTGCCTTTTTAGGGGCAGGGAAGTCATCCTTCTGGACTGGGGGCCTGCAGCTGTGGACTCCCTACCTCTGCTTCCCCAATTGTGGGGAGGAGGGGCATACAAATGGGGCTAGAATTGCCCTGGGCTTGGCTGGTGCTCTTTTGTTTTTTAAAATTTTTATTTATTAGTACTATTATTTTTTTACATTCTAAGATATCATTGCAGAGCAGTTGGGAGGCAGGGGGAGAGAGAAAAGGGGGAGGAAATGGGATGGAAGAAGGAGGAAGGAGGAGGGGTGTGATTGAGGCCTGTGGCACTCCCCTCATTCCCACAGGGGAGACCAGGGGGCTTCCAGCAGTGGCTTGACCATTACCAGGCTGGATGCAGATGTCAGGAGGGTGTGGCAAAAGCCCTCACCCCCACCCCAGCTCCAGAGCCCGGGGCCCTTCTTGCTGTGGCTCGGTGGTCATTGCTGGGCTGGATGCACATATCAGGGGGCGTGGCCAAGGCCCTTGGCCCCCACCTTCGGGACCGGTTGCAGGTGTCGGGGGGCATGGCTGAGGCCCCCGACCCTCCCCCATTTCTGGCTTGGTAGCCCAGGGGACCCCCTGTCCTTCTAGGTGTTATAGGTGTTCTTTGGTGAAATGAGACCTTTATTAGTTAATATCAAACTTTGTCTCTGGTTGTGGGTACTTTGTTTTTTCTTCCAGTTCTGTGTTGGATTATTTGCTGTTCCCACCACTT